CGGTTTTCATATTCTCTGTTGTTGTAACTGTCTGACCCGCTCCGACTGGACATCTGCGAAAAAGAGCTTCATAGCTCATCGGATTCCTTCAGTCTCAATAAATATTATTATCCTCTGTATAGCCTGAAACAGACTTTTGGGGCAAGTGCTGTTAGTGAGCACCTACAGTGAGGGAAAAAAGTATTTGATCCCTTGCTGATTTTGTACGTTTGCCCACTGAAAAATAAATGATCAGTCTATAATTTTAATAGTAGGTTTATTTGAACAGTGAGAGACAGAATAACAACAACAAAATCCAGAAAAACGCATGTCAAAAATGTTATAAATTGATTTGCATTTTAATGAGGGAAATAAGTATTTGACCCCTCTGCAAAACATGACTTAGTACTTTGTGGCAAAACCCTTGTTGGCAATCACAGAGGTCAGACGTTTCTTGCAGTTGGCCACCAGGTTTGCACACATCTCAGGAGGGATTTTGTCGCACTCCTCTTTGCAGATCTTCTCTAAGTCATTAAGGTTTCGAGGCTGACGTCTGGCAACTCGAACCTTCAGCACCCTCCACAGATTTTCTATGGGATTAAGGTCTGGAGACTGGCTAGGCCACTCCAGGACCTTAATGTGCTTCTTCTTGAGCCACTCCTTTGTTGCCTTGGCCATGTGTTTTGGGTCATTGTCATGCTGGAATACCCATCCACGACCCATTTTCAATGCCCTGGCTGAGGGAAGGAGGTTCTCACCCAAGATTTGACGGTACATGGCCCCGTCTATCATCCCTTGATGCAGTGAAGTTGTCCTGTCCCCTTAGCAGAAAAACACCCCCAAAGCATGATGTTTCCACCTCCATGTTTAACGGTGGGGATGGTGTTCTTGGGCTCATAGGCAGCATTCCTCCTCCTCCAAACACGGCGAGTTGAGTTGATGCCAAAGAGCTCCATTTTGGTCTCATTTGACCAAAACACTTTCACCCAGTTGTCCTCTGAATCATTCAGATGTTCATTGGCAAACTTCAGACGGGCATGTATATGTGCTTTCTTGAGCATGGGACCTTGCGGGTGCTGCAGGATTTGAGTCCTTCACGGGGTAGTGTGTTACCAACTGTTTTCTTGGTGACTATGGTCCCAGCTGCCTTGAGATCATTGACAAGATCCTCCCGTGTAATTCTGGGCTGATTCCTCACCGTTTTCATGATCATTGCAACTCCACGAGGTGAGATCTTGCATGGAGCCCCAGGCCGAGGGAGATTGACAGTTCTTTTGTGTTTTTTCCATTTGCGAATAATCGCACCAACTGTTGTCACCTTCTCACCAAGCTGCTTGGCGATGGTCTTGTAGCCCATTCCAGCCTTGTGTAGGTCTACAATCTTGTCCCTGACATTCTTGGAGAGCTCTTTGGTCTTGGGCATGGTGGAGAGTTTGGAATCTAATTTATTGATTGATTGCTTCTGTGAACAGGTGTCTTTTATACAGGTTACAAGCTGAGATTAGGAGCACTCCCTTTAAGAGTGTGCTCCTAATCTCAGCTCGTTACCTGTATAAAAGACACCTGGGATCCAGAAATCTTTCTGATTGAGAGGGGGTCAAATACTTATTTCCCTCATTAAAATGCAAATCAATTTATTAAAATTTTGACATGCGTTTTCTGGATTTTGTTGTTGTTATTCTGTCTCTCACTGTTCAAATAAACCTACCATTAAAATTATAGATTGATCATTTCTTTGTCAGTGGGCAAACGTACAAAATCAGCAGGGGATCAAATACTTTTTTCCCTCACTGTATGAAGGCCGGCACGGCACACGAGGGGCGAGTGGGTGGCCAGCACCACACCCGGCCGCCTTTGACTTCCAAGTGGCGATATTCACACACCGCATCAGGTACTCATTTGATTCTGAGTCGACCTGGGGGAGGCCCAGGACCGGTTCTGATAATCGTCACTGGTGTTGGCCGTGAGCGGGAATCGAACTCGGGTCGCTACCGCTCCCCACACACATATACAGTATATATTATCCATGTGTAGTGTAATAGCGCCGGCTGGTGGACAGCAGCGGCAACTGTGGTGGGTAGACAGCACACGCGCCGGTGAGGGCGTGCACGGGGTGTGGGCAGAGGGGAGGAACTCGGGTAAGGGTCACGGAGGACCCCATCTGGATGCCCCTGGAACCTGCTAGCAGGTTCAAGAAGGGAGGTGCAGTCAGGGCAGAGCCAGGCAGCGCTGGGGGCATAAAAGGAGCTAAGAGCGGGAGCCCGGGGCTGCCGGTCCTGGAAATGGACTCGTCTCATCGCCGTCGTCGCTAAACGTCTCCGGTAGATATTGCGAAGGATAGTAGTTGGCTATCTCAGTGGAAAGAGTGTGCATGAGACCGTGAAAGTTGTCAATAAAGGTGCCTCCTAGAAACTCCGTATCTGAATCGTTGACACTCCACATTTCTAAGGTATTTACTGTTCAGAGGAGTGCACCTGGGCAGGGCCACATCGCCAGAAGAGACGGCGACGGTCAGTGGTCGAGATAAATGTTTGGAGCGTCAGCCAAGGGAATCCACGGCGCAGATGAAGCAGGACCAAAGGGATGGACAGGGCTCGAGTGGGCCCTCATCCAGCAGTGCACGGGCAATGGCTGTCGATGACACTGCTTTTGAGGCGGGCAATATACGCAAGGCACGCAATGTGCATCACCACCAAGAGGGACTTGCAGGTTACTGGGATCAGGGTGGGCGCCGTATCACCTCGTTGCTGCACAGAGACAGCTGCCACTGGGAGAGTCCCCTTGGTAACGGTTGAGTTAAGATGCGAGGCCAGGCGCTGTGTGAGATGTCGAGGCAGTTGAGTGACGCATAAATGTAGAGATTAAATTATTATGAGCGGTGGTGTAGGACCCAGAATCACTTCACTCGCCCCCCCTCCCTTCTCACACAGCACCACTCAACACTCCCATCTTGCACAGACCCACACTCACCACTCCCATCTCACACAGCACCACAGACTCACACTCACCACTCCCATCTCACACAGCACCACACTCACACTCACCACTCTCATCTCACACAGCACCACATTCACACTCACCACTCCCATCTCACACAGACCCACACTCACCACTCCCATCTCACACAGCACCACAGAACCACACTCACCACTTTGACCTCACACAGCACCACAGACTCACACTCACCACTCCCATCTCACACAGCACCACAGACTCACACTCACCACTCCCATCTCACACAGCACCACAAACTCACACTCACCACCCCCATCTCAAACAGCACCACAGACTCACACTCACCACTCCCATCTCACACAGCACCACATTCACACTCACCACTCCCATCTCACACAGCACCACAGACCCACACTCACCACTCCCATCTCACACAGCACCACACTCACACTCACCACTCCCATCTCACACAGCACCACACTCACACTCACCACTCCCATCTCACACAGCACCACAGACCCACACTCACCACTCCCATCTCACACAGCACCACAGAACCACACTCACCACTTTGATCTCACACAGCACCACAGACTCACACTCACCACTCTCATCTCACACAGCACCACAGACCCACACTCTCCACTCCCATCTCACAAAGAACCACAGACCCACACTGACCACTCCCATCTCACACAGCACCACAGACTCACACTCACCACTCTCATCTCACACAGCACCACAGACCCACACTCACCACTCCCATCTCACACAGCACCACAGACCCACACTCACCACTCTCATCTCACACAGCACCACAGACTCACACTCACCACTCCCATCTCACACAGCACCACAGACTCACACTCACCACTCTCATCTCACACAACACCACAGACTCACACTCACCACTCCCATCTCACACAGCACCACAGACTCACACTCACCACTCCCATCTCACACAGCACCACAGACTCACACTCACCACTCTCATCTCACACAGCACCACAGACTCACACTCACCACTCCCATCTCACACAGCACCACAGACCCACACTCACCACTCTCATCTCACACAGCACCAGACTCACACTCACCACTCCCATCTCACACAGCACCACAGACTCACACTCACCACTCTCATCTCACACAACACCACAGACTCACACTCACCACTCCCATCTCACACAGCACCACAGACTCACACTCACCACTCCCATCTCACACAGCACCACAGACCCACACTCACCACTCTCATCTCACACAGCACCACAGACTCACACTCACCACTCTCATCTCACACAGCACCACAGACTCACACTCACCACTCTCATCTCACACAACACCACAGACTCACACTCACCACTCCCATCTCACACAGCACCACAGACTCACACTCACCACTCCCATCTCACACAGCACCACAGACTCACACACACCACTCCCATCTCACACAGCACCACAGACTTACACTCACCACTCCCATCTCACACAGCACCACCGACCCACACTCACCACCCCCATCTTACACCGCCCCACAGACTCACACTCACCACTCCCATCTCACACAGCACCACCGACCCACACTCACCACCCCCATCTCACACAGCACCACAGACTCACCCTCACCACTCCCATCTCACACAGCACCACAGACCCACACTCACCACCCCATCTCACACAGTACCACAGACTCACCACCCCCTTCTCACACAGCATCACAGACCCACACTCACCACTCCCATCTCACACAGCACCACAGACCCACACTCACCACCCCCATCTCACGCAGCACCACAGACTCACACTCACCACTCTCATCTCACACAGCACCACAGACTCACCACTCCCATCTCACACAGCACCACACTCACCACTCCCATCTCACGCAGCACCACAGACTCACACTCACCACTCTCATCTCACACAGCACCACAGACTCACACTCACCACTCCCATCTCACACAGCACCACAGACCCACACTCACCACTCCCATCTCACACATCAGCAGCACTGCACCCACACCACTCTGCAATTCATGAAGAACCTCAGCATGCGCGAAGAGTTGCATTCCGGCATTTATTTGAACAAATTAGGCAAGTAATTTGCACACAGTAACCTCTGAGACGGAGACGCCGACTGCATATGCCATCACTTATTTTGTTTCATGGGCGGAGGCAAATGCAGCCAGAGCATAGACGGATTTCCCTGACCCCGAGACACGCGCACACGTGATGGTGGCAACATCACACGAACCCGAGGCGCCCCACGGGGATGGGTTTTTTTCACTCGCTGCAACGCAGCTCCACAAAGACGCCGACGGCGACGCCGCCGCTGGTTTTACCCAGGCTGCTGCCCAAATGTGTGCGTGCGAGCGAGTACGAGCGGAGCCACAGTCAGCAGCAATGCAACGACAAGAGGGGGGGGGGGGTTCGGGGAACACCGACCCCCCCCCCCCCCCCCCATAGCGCCATATGCAGCCTCGTGCGCCGCCGCTGCAGCTCGCCAGTGACCATGGCACGTGATACCCATCATTAAGTGCAAGATCCCATTCGGCCGATTTACAAACGCGTACAACGGACATAAACTTAAATAGAACCCCCCAATCATTTTGGCAACGAAAAGTGACAACTATACAAAATTGGCAACCAGTTGAAATAAAAGTTTGAACTTATATAACGCATATACAGATGTCACTAATTACGGCTGGATAGAAAACGCAGTGGGAGTTCCCCAGCCATATCTGCAGATCACGGTCAAGAATTTCCGCGGACCACCACGCGAACCACCGCGCGAACGTGGCGTTTCGTGGAAACGATCGAACCCGTGACAACTTTTCGGAGCCGCTTCTCAACACGGCTATTGCACGCGAGCAGTGGTAGGAAAGCATTGGTCGCGGCAACGCATGACAGACGGATATAGTACCCAGCGAACGCTGCAGATAAGGAACGCACGGGCGAGGGATACTGAACGAGGTTGCTGCCGTGGACAAAACTATCTCTCCCCCCCCCCGCCCCAGGCACAAGCTCCTCTCTCTGGCGCGACGATATTCCACCATGGCGGAAAGCACACGGGAGGTAGTAAGACCGAGCAAGGACGGACGCAGTCGATTTTCTTAAAGCTCGTGGTCGCGTTACGCCTGGCTCCTGAGTGCACGCGGTCACCCAGCCCGGCGACGCCAAGAACCGAGAGCCCTTCGGCGGCGCGGCAGAATTACCCTGACGAAGCTCTGCCTGCGACGCCGATTTATGAGGTTCGTTGACGCACCGACCGTGCACAGCAGCTCCTGAGGGTTTTAGCGACACGCGTTTGGCTCAGTTGGTCGGTTGCGACGACTGTCACAACAGTTGCGTCATCACGAGCGAGGCGAGGCCTGGCTGGAAAGGCATTCGTGAGTCCTTGAGATTCTTTTGCAATCATTATTATTTACAATTCTGCAACAAATCACGCACGCACCCACGCCGTAAATAAAATAAAAACTCCAAACGGGCAGATCCACACCCGAAGCCGTCGGCTACGCGACTCGGTGCCGTGTGACACAATGGCTAACGAGCCCCCAGAGTGGACGTCTCTGCTACCAGACTCGTCCACGATCGCGTGCGATTGAGAACAATTTGGTGGCGCAACCGAGAGCTCGGGGTGTTGACCCCACCTCGATGGGCTTTTTTGCTGGAAAAGCCCACGGACTTCACGTTCAACCCTCAACCGAAATGTGGCTGGTAGTGTCACAGGATCGAGTGTGCTTCTATGAGCAAGAGGCCACTTTGTGCCGTTTCCTGCGTTCACCAAAACGGCGCCGGTGGCCATCGTGATGGGTTCCCGACGCTGCTGCGGTTCCAACGTGACATCGCGACGCCACGGCACCCCTGACATTCTACCGATGCGGCCCACTGCCGCCCCTGGCCCTGAGTTGATTGATGCCAGTTCAAAAACAGGAAAAACAAAGATCTGAAAAAGCAACGATAAAGAACCACAAAAAAACCGTCTTGAAATCCTGCCGCCGCTAAGAAGGCACAGGGTGCTTCTCCCCGTGCCGTCTTTACTCCCGGCCAGTTACTACAGTAGGTCATCACAATACAATGCGTGTTGGGCAATTGTTCTGTCCCACACACGGAGCATTTTATACATATGTACAGAAAGCTAGTTACAAACACGTGTCGATTAACCGACATTTATCACGGATGGCTCAAATTTACAGAAGACGGAGTATTGTTTTGTTTGTACAAAGCCAGACATACATACACATATACACACAATACCAAGAATAAATAAGCCGATCCAAGCACAGTCCAACCGATTCACCACGCACGCAACACACAACACAATCGTCACCGCAGTAAACTGGCCACGTTACAAACATTCGGGCTTTGCTTGCAGTCATCTGCCCGTGTTTATAATATTAAGGCTGTTTCGTTGTCTTGATGGTACAGTCTGTGCTATGCACGATTAGAGCAGCGGCTGTCACATACACGCAGCTCCCGGATTCCGACTCTCCCGGGCGTCGTCAAAACCACTCCGCAGACAGACTCGGACGAGGAGAACCTTCTTGGCTCTCGGGCACGCTGCCTGCTTACAGACGTCGGCGATGTGACCTCCCCTCCCACCTCATCCCCCACCTCACCTGCCTGCTCGCCCGTCACATCAACACGCCCGTGCATCAACACGCCCACGGGTTTATAAAGCAACGATCGATTTCCCTACCCTCAAATCTGTAAACAATGGTGCTCCCCCCCTCCTCCTTCAGGAGCGATTCATTCAAACCAAAGCGCTTATGCAAAATATCACCCCCCCCCCTCCTCCTTCCCCCCGCCCCCGGTCGACATTGATGAGGTCATCAAACTAACATGGCCGTGGACAGCAACGTTACCACAGTTGAAAGGCTTGTCGTGTAACGGTCCGACCCGACCGCCACCCCGCCCAGATTGCGTCCATGCCCCCGCGGCCTGTTAGTCGTTGGCGTGTGACGGCCTTGAGAACTCTTTGGCTGAACTGGGCCACGTAGTGGTTAGAAAAAAAACAGAATGTGTGGTGAGGGCCGCAATGCCTCAAACGTAAAGTTTCTGGGGAGCGGTGGTGCGCGACAAGATTGCCCAGACCCCGTGAAAGGCGGCCGCACGTCAAGAGTCTCAGAGTGGTCACGACGCAGCCCGCTCTCCGATTGCCGTAGAAATATGGCAAAACCTCGGCAAGGTAGCTTGTGTTGTGGCCTTTCCCAGAAAGCAGGCTTGACTTCATCGATGGAGGAGACGTTGGCACCGTAAGTTTGATGAGCAGCTTCAACCGCCCACTCCCTCATTACAGCGAGGGGCGAATGGCAGAATGAGAACTTAAATTGCGCAATTAGCACAATGGAAGAAACACCTTCCTCAACCCAGGGCGTTTCGGAATTTCGGACGCAATTAAGGGCGACTTGTAACAATTTCTACAGGATCTGTGCCCCCCCCTGCCCACCCCCAGAAGCCCCCCACCCACACCTGCTTGGGAGAGAAGCCAGGGGGAGGTGCCGGAGAGAGGAGAGAGAGAATCAGACCCCTCCTGGGTGACTGCAGTGAAGCTCACTGGTCCTCTGGTTGTAAATGTATATTCGTGGGGCTTTTTCGTTTCCGTTGTTCTCCCCCCAAAGCTTCCGACACTAGTCCTCTTCTACGTGGACCTGCACAATCTGCAAACACATACGGACGAATAAATGTGTCAGGGAAAAAAAAAAACCTGAACAACCACACGAGGTCAGATGTGGCGCGAGAACGTGAAACAAAGTTCAGTCGACTCTCGATTATCCACGGCCAACCTCCCCGTCACTAGTGTGGATAATCGAGAGTCTCCTGTACAATGAAAACGAACAAAAGAGAAATCTCGTCACGCAGTAGTGAGCACAAAGTGTTTCGTTACCGGCGTGTGGGAGTGTTCCGTACCGGCGTGTAGGAGTGGGCGCTGCTCACGGAGCCGTTGCGAGTCATGCCAAAGCTCATCTCTCGCTCCTCCTCCTCCTGCTCCTCCGTGGTTTTGCGGTAAACCGGGTTCTCAAAGTGAATGCTTTTGGCACTACGCCGCTTCCAGCTACGCCACAGCATCGCTGCACCTGCTGCCAACAGCAGCAGCAGCACTGCAAACGGCAAGCACGGGGGGGGGGGGGGGGACATGAACACACGGCGTCACATGGGGTCACACAGTGTCACCCAAACCCCACCGCACCTGCCCTCCACACCCAGACGGCTTGCTGCCAAATTTAAGTGGAAATACCAAATAAAGATATTTTAATGATTCATAACTGACTTTTGGGTCAGATCACAGCGCAAGTCAAATGTGTGTCTCGTGCACCTTCCTCAACCCGATAGCCAATGAATAAAGCTGTCAAGTGATGAACAAACATGCCGGTTGATTGCTGCTTCAGCAGCACCACTGGTTGTGTTAGTGATCCACACACAGTGAACAAATGGGTACGTAATGTTTCCCTGGTGGTTACAACCAGCATCATCAGGCAAGTGCCGTACTGCCAGGAGATGGACTGAAACCGGCGACCTCTGGATTGTAAGCCCAGTGCACTGCTGACCGACCATTACACCGCTGTCGCAGCTGCATTCGTTTGTTACCTAACGAGCTAAACGCGACGTGGTTACTGCTCGAGACGTTTTTGTCCGTGCGGTAAACCGGAAACGGACTTTTAGTCATGCGGCTACCAGTGACAGAAGAACGCGAATGTAAAAGCCCAAATTGAACCCAGACTCTCGCCATCGCCAGCTCCATGCGTTGGGCCCCCAGAATCGCCCAGCCACTCACTTCACCATAAAACACCGAGTGTGGGGTGTGGGGTCGGAGTGGGGGGGGCTCACCAATAGGGATGGTGATCCCCAGTGCCACGGGCACCACAGACGTTGAGGCCTCCTCCTTGCGAGCCAGCATATCTGCAACGCGACACACAAGGGACGGTCGGATCAAGGGGGCCACAACGCGACGATCGCGAAGGTCAATCCAGCTGCCGAACGGCAGCACTGATGATCCAACGACACACTGAATCCAACATCCAGACGCCATTCAACTCCGACTGGGTGTGTGGCAGAAGTAAGTCGTTTGCGGTGTCTTTTTTTTATTAGACAAATTTGGATCGTGACGGCTGAAATAATGGGCTACTATTATTTTCGAATGGTGTCATGGGATCTTTTAACGTCCAAAGGAAGGAGCTGCTGTGTCTTACAGCCACAGTCAACAGCGGTTTCTCAGTAGGAGTACATTGTTGCCATGCGTTTCCAAATTGAGTAATTTGCGGTATTTTTTTTTTATTCTGGTAAAATTTAGACCGTGACGCCGGCCGGCACACAATGCTCGACTACTCTTTCTGAACGACTTCACAGGATTTTTTATGTCCACCGTGAGCGAAGCGGATAGCGATGTAGTATTTTTCCGGTAAATACGACACCACCGTGGTATTAACCAGGGCATGCCTGCTGGATTTGAACCGGTTTACAGGCAGCGAGCGACTAAAAGGCAGAGGAAGGGGCTCGTACGGGAGTTGGTCGCGGTGGGGGAGGTCGCGGGCGCCGTGCTCGTCCGCTGGTGCTGCCGAGCCGCGTCATCCGTCGTCACGGCAGCCGGGCGGTCTGTGGGAGGGCAGCGCGATGGTGAGCAGGGCGACACGTGTACAGCTCACGAGACGTAAGCAGGCGAGTCACAGCTGCCCCGGCCCCTCCCTCGCACTTACCCCATGTCCCCACCCCAACCACCACCGGTACCTATCACACAAAAATACCCCGTGTAGCCTTTAAGAGACTGTTGGAGCAAGTGCCGTTGGTCAGCACCTATTAAGGCTATCACGGCACACGAGGGGGGGGTGGGTTGCCAGGTCCGTGTACGGCCGCTTCAATCTGAGTATTTTTGCCGCCTCCGCAGCAGGTACTTATTTATGGCCAAGTTGACCGAAGGGGAGGCCCAGGACCAGTTTAGATATTTTGTCACCGATGTTGGCCCAGAGGGCGAAAATCAAACTCGGGTCGTGAGGTTCGTAATACAATGCGCTAACAACAACACATCTCACGCACACTAAACACACATGCAGAAAGAAAAAGTTCCCCCGTATAGCCTTTACAGACTGTTGGGGCAAGTGCTGTTCGCGAGCACATATGAAGGCCGACACGGCACATGAGGCAGTGGGTGGCGAGCACCATGCCCGGCCGCCTTTGTCTCCCTCATGGAAAAGTACTCATTTGAGACCGAGTCAACCTAGGGGAGACCCAGGACCGGTTCAGATAATTGTCACCGTTGTGCGGGAATGGAACTCGGGTCGCCAGATTCGTAGCGCGACGCGCTAACAGCTGCACTACCACTCCCTACATGCACCCTTATACTCTCACACACACCTCCCACTCACATCGCACCCACTCCCACAAAATACCCTTGCACACTCGCACGCTCACACTCGCTCACTCCAACCCGGCTGCCTGGTTTACAGGCAGCGAGTGATTTGAGGGAAATTGAGTTTGTACCTGAGAGCGTGGTGGTCGTGGTGGTCGTGGTGGAGGACGAGGCGGTCGCGGGCCGTGGGCTCGTCCGCTGTGGCTCCCGACTCGTGACGTCCTTCGGTCCGGTTGTCATCACGACGACAGGGGGGCGGTCTACGAGAGGCGCGAAAGCGGTAACGTGGAGTGAGCGACGCCCCCTGACAAAGACGCCCCTCCCGTCGCCTTGACGAAACCGGACCGTGGGGGGTCCGGGTGCGGCTTGTGATCGCCCATCGAGGCCGAGACGGTGCCCACGAGGGGGGCGGTGTGACCGTCGCGTTTGCGGACGAACCCCGGCCCCCCGCCCTGGGTCCCTCCCTACCCCCACGCTCACCTTTGCTGCAACCGCGGCCGTCGTTTGCGAGGAACTCCCCATCAGGGCACGCGCACGTGAACCGCGGCGACCCGGCGGTGATGTGCGGCGCCGGCAGGCACAGGTATGCGCAGCCGCCGTTCGGGAGCGGCGCTGTGCTGCACCAGTCCGTGCCTGCAAACCGAGGAGTGACAGCGCGGGGGGTGGGCATGAGTCAAGGGGGAGGGGGGAGATGCATACCCGCACGCGTGCGTGTGTGCGACGAGCTGTGTGCGATGGCGCAGCATGGAAGAGCACGGCTGGGGATGGAACAGCAGGGGATGGCACAGCAGGGGGTGGCAGAGCGCACGTTGTACCGTTTGGCTGCAGCAGGGGGTGGTAAACGAGCAGGTCCTGGGGGCTGTGCAGGTCCTCCACCACGGAGGAAATTCCGCTCCCCGTGTGCTTGTCAGCACTGTAGATGGCTTCCTTCTCCCCGTCAGCCCAATACACCTTGTCCTGCGCCACAAATACAAAGATCCCCCGTACAGCCATTAAACGATTGTTAGGGTAAGTGTTATTAGCACGTCACATGAGGGGGTGGCCATCACCATGTTCGGCCGCATTTGTCACCGCACCAGCTACTCGATTAAGGCTGAGCCGACCTAGGGGAGGCCCAGAAATTGTTAAAATATTCGCCGTTAGTGGTCATGAGCGGAAATTGAACTGGCATCGCCGTGTTTGTAGTGCAGGGTGATGACCACTGCACTACCACTCGCCACGCACAGACGCATTGACAATTTAACAGTTTTAGCGTCCCGAGACCGATACCTCCCTGACACACGAGACTACACCATTAGTCTCCGGCTTATCTAAGCCTCTAATTAATATTCACTCGTACAGCATGCACAGCCGTTACAAACTCAACTAACACTATACTATTTAAATGTTTTGAACTAAACAATTTTAGCTTACCAGGTAAGGCCCGCTGAGCTATATAGCTCTTTTTCAGAAGCAACCTAACCACAAATGATAGCCCAACAGTGGCTTATGATATGGGAATGTATAACAGCCAAATACGCTACACGCATGTTGAATTTAAATGTAGAGGGGACAACCGGAGAACCCGGTGATTTACAGGAACCGGTTTACAGAACTCGGTTTCCCGGACCAGGTTAACGGTAACAGGACCCGGGGTTACAGCTCGAGCGTGTTATACATGCTGCGGTGGTGCGCACAACACTACGAGTTGTGTGTGTTTGTGCGTTTACCTGGGGGGGGTTTGGACCACAAACGCCAAGTGTCCCAAGACCTCCGCCGCGAGCGGCGCCCTCACCTCGAAGATGGCGATGGCGAAGGGGTGGTGGAGCGCGTCCGTCTGGTGCATCACCTCGTGCCTCTCGCCCCCGGCCAGGTTCACGCTGGACAGCGTGCGCAGCTTTGAGTCCACCCAGTACAGACGCTTGTTCACCAGGTCTGCACGGTCAGGAGGGGTCGCGAGGGTGAGCACGGAAACACCGGCGACGAGTGTTCCTCATTCTCACCGGCGTAGGTTTACCCTCAACCCCATGCTCCAAGTCACTCGTTAATTTGCCAGCAGTCGGTTCGACTCCTAAATCGCTCTTCTATAGCTACTACCATGGCTACCGTTCCCGTGAACTTCAATCATTGATTCCTCAACCCACATTAAGGACTCGGTCTACTAGACTTGCTTTCGTCTCATCCACCAGACTGTGTTCAAGCACTACACTGCAGGTCACCACCCACCTACTCACCCCACCCCACCCACTCCACTCTACCCCATCGACCCACCAAACCACATTGCAAGTCACAGCACTTCTCTCTTCTGCTTCTTTCCCTGGCACTGCTCCACTATGGAATTCCCACCATCGTCATCGTCTCTTTAACCCATGGCTCTTATAATCATAATCACAACAGGCAGCAACTATGTAAAAGAAAGCCTTGCCTTGCACGGCAATGGGAGGCAGCCAGGAAATAATAATGATATTCCCGATCAGTGGTGACGCAGCCGTCACGCTTGCTTTGCACGGGCGGTTCTTGCCGGCTGTGTGCGCGCGCCAATCGGCGAAGGGGGCGGTTGTTCGTTTGGGCGAGACTCACCGAGCGTGATGCCGTTGGGCCACTCGATGTCCTTCGACACGATGACCTGGCGGCTTACGCCGTTCATGCCGGCCTTCTCGATCTTAGCCGGCTGACCCCAGTCGGACCAGTAGACGAACCTGATCGGGAGAGAGGCGACGTGGCGGTTAGCACCAGTGTAGGCGGCGCAATGAGTCGCACCGCTAGCACATGAGTAACAATAACGAAGCAATGTGCTACCTCCTTCCCATACCTGTCCTTACATGTAAATTAAAAAAAAATGTTTACATCTCATCAGAGTCAATCCAAAGGACAACCCCTGTTGACTTCCTCACAAAGTGGTCCCTATTTGATCTATCCTATAGGGATGGTGGGCCGAGGCAGCCACCCCAACCAGGATTTAAACTCATGCCCTTCCGATTGCAAACTGCTCGCTCAACCACTAATGGATATTCAAACCAAATATTATAGATACAGAAATTTGAGTAGGTAATACCATTCCATATCTGTCTCTCCACGTTAAAATATTTTTGACACATCCCATTAGCCACACGGTCTTCTGGCAAATGCAGAATTTCAGCAATATGGGTTTTACACAAGTGAAGCTTTTGACATTCAGTGTCTCAACGCTAGTGAACTGCCAAAACGGACAGACGGACGGACAGGGTGAGGGGGGTGGTGTGCCGCCTGCTCACCCGCTCAGCGGGTCTACGGCGATGGCACGGGGCTCGCTCAACCCTTGACCGAAGAGCGTGCGGCGCCGGGAGCCGTCGGGTTTGGCCACGGCAACGGTTTTGGCTTTCGAGTCGGTCCAGTAGAGGTTCCCGTGCACCCAGTCGATGGCGATGCCCTCAACAAAGACAGGCGCCTCGCCCAGCACGCTGGTGTGGCGCGTGGAATCATGCGCCTCATCCATTAGTGCGCTGTACGGGGAAGGGAGCGAGGCACAGAGAGAGCATCACACGCGGTGTCCACAATCGACAACGCACGATGCCAACGTGCTGCCCAATCGCTCGCTCGCTGACTCACCTCGGCCACTCATTCCCCTGCCCACCCACTCATGCGCTCACACTCATTCACCCGCTCGTAACCCCTCTCACTCGCCCACCCACCCATCCACCCACTCGCTTACTCATTCGCACACTCACCTGCTCATTTCCCCACTTGCTCACCAACTCACTCACTCGGTCACCAACCCACCCACTCACTCACCTGCTAATTTACCCACTCGCTCACCCACTCACCCACTCACTCACACGGGTATGGAGGACCCCCTCTCCGCGCTAGGCCACACCTGTAAACTTGCTTCTGGCCCAGGTCGGACCAGTAGATGCGGTTGGCCGTGATCTCGACGGCTACGGCGACAGTGTTGCGCGTGCGCGAGATGAGCTGCTTGTAGCTGCGCGTGTGCAGGTCTACGCGGCGCACGTCACGCTGGTTTGCGAAGATCAGGTAGGTCTTTTGGTGCTCTACACACACACACGCGGCACACGATGTTATGCGCGAACGCGAGACGTGCACCGACGCATTTGCTGCTCTCGTGTCAGTAGACCCCCTGGACACGCTTAACACACGACCGTTATGAGGTAAGGGTGCAACCAACACAGACCACCCCTCGCTGCTTTGCAATGGCGACACAATAAAAAATTGCAGTGAAACTAACCATTTATTTCACGTTCACCAATAAAAAAAAAACCTCAAGTTTACTTTGAAACGCAAGGTTTCCCAAAACAGCATTTGACGATGTTTAACGCTCATTTATCCAGAAGGGGGCAGCACGCGGAAGACTGGGGGAGGAACACTCACCAGTGGCCTTGCAGGCCTGCGTGGCGGGGTCCATGGTGTATCCCTCGTAGCAATCGCACTTGTATCCGCCCTTATAGTTGATGCACAGCTGGCTGCAAACGCCGGGCTGCTTGCACTCGTCCGTGTCTGTTGGGGCCGACACGCACAGCAGCAGCATGGCTCGTCAGGCTGGGTGTCCATTATCTCAAAGCCAAGGAGATTTCCTGCTCACGTGAGAGCAATAACAGTTGCTCATCTCCTGCTTTACAGTCATGATTGAGCCAGTTGGTAGAAATTCTGCATTCCTATTGGACAGGTGTAGAAGTCAAGAAACCACTTGTTGATTTCCTCACAAAGTGGTATTGTTTGAATCTACCTCTGGAGGAATGATAGCATGAGTCAACCCGGCCCCACCCCACCCCAACTAGGATTTGAACTTGCCACCTTCGGACTGCGAGCCGCTCACTCCACAGCTGAGCCACCCATGAGCTACAGACGTACAAATAAAAAAAACATGGCCCCTCAACAACGATTGCTTTCCTCAAAAACAATAACTATGCTCTCCGTTCACAAAGTTATGTATGTATGCTGAACTTATTTTGCACCGTATGTAGCCAACTGTGCTACTCAGAGGTGCAACCCATCAATAGGGTAACCGGTTCAACACGGAACAATCTCCTCCACACACACATCTACGAGACTATGCCACCAGTCTCGGGCTCGTCTAAGCCTCTGATTAAAACTCACTCGCACACAGCTGTTACAGCCCGGGTGCGTTCTACATTTACATTAGCACGGTTGGTTAAGTACAGAACAAAGAAAAGTTCAACATCAATATATACATGGCGGGGGTGCCCACCACTTACTGATGTATCTATATCAACTTGTTGATTGGGTGGTATGTTCGCTGCATGAACGCGCTCCAAGTTATAGTGGTTACAAGCATTTGTACATGTGACCGGCGTTGTGCAGAGGAGGGGCGGGGTGAGCTATGGCGGGGGACGAGTTTGCGATCGCCGGCTCACCTCCGCACGTGTACTCGTCCAGGAGTTCGTATCCCGCGGGGCAGCCACACTCGAAGCCTAGCGGCCGGTCCCAGCATGTGTGCGAGCAGCCTCCGTTGGTGGTGGCGCACTCGTTCACATCTGCAGCACAAACACGGGCAGACGTCAGTTGCCATCCGTGCCACACAAAGACCAAGATCCCCCCCATATAGCCTTAACAGACTGTTGGGGAAACTGCTGTGAGCGTGCACACACACTCCAGACTAGCACTTCCTTTTAACTCTGGTCTCGGTAGGAGGAGATAAGGTGTAGGTGGTAGAGGAACTGCGCATAATCAAGCAGTAGAGTCCATAATGCAGATGGGGGGCTGTGAGAAAGAGGTCAAGAGGTGCATTGCTTTAGCAGCACAAGTTTGTGAGGGGCCATGGGAACCTCTGTGGAAGAGAGAGTCTGAATGGACCCTACCCAAGCAGCTCCAAAAGAGTTGTGGGCTACGGAGCACAGGTGTCTGAGACGGATGCTGAGGGTACCGTGTCAAGGCAGGATAATCAAAGCAGAGGTCCGCGGGGCAGGTGAGTGCCAAAGCTATGATGAGACGTACAACGGTTGCGTTGGGTGGGCCGTATTGCAGGGTGCGTGGAGCCGATTGTTGAGACCAGCATTGGAGTGGTCTCCACAAGTCGAGAAGACTTCTAAGAGCATATAGTTGGAGGCCGTCGGGATAGCTCTATGGGTCTCGGTGTGTCTCTGTGCGAGTTCATGGGCCTCCGTGCGAGTCTTATGTGAATCTTTGTGAATCTAAGGCCAGGGCAGTGTTGATTGTACAGCAGCAGCTGCGGGATCTGGCAGGAGGAGTGGAACGCATTGGTGGCGAAGAGGTGTGGTGGTGGTGGCATCTTGATTTTGATGAACAGAGGGGGTAAGAGCTCGCACCGTTGAGAGGGAGACATAGGGGAGATGTGGGGGGGGTGGTGTGGGGTGCCGTGTGGGAACGCACTGCACAGGCTGAGCGGCTCGTCCGACCAGTCGTGGCAGTCTCTCGTCCCGTCGCACACTTGACGGTCCTGCAGGCACTCGCCAGAGCGGCAGCGGAACCAGCCGGGGCCCGTGCAGTCCACGGCTATAGGCGGCAGAAGCAGGTGCATAATTAGTCCAGTGTTACCACACGAAGCAACACGCAAAGTGACTTCCCGCTCGAACGATTGTTGAGGCGTTGGTGCTCATCTCCTGTTTACGACCCTGTAGAGCCAAATATTAAAATGTCCACATTCCTATTGCATGGGCAAGTCTACCTGTAGGACAACCACGATGCACTCCCCACAAATTGGTATTCAAGTTTATTGACTCTGGATGGATGATGTGCTGAGTCCACCCCCCCAATCAGGATTTGAACTTGCAATGGCAAGGTTTGCTCTTAAGCTGAGCTGCCACCCGGCTGGTTAACTATCAACAGAGCAGGAAGTATCACGCGTAACTTTCATCAATTCCATTGAATTGAATGGTCGAGGTGCTGCTGTGTTGAGGCTTCACATAAGCGAGTGTGTGTTGTGCATTGTGTGCGTCTTGTGTGCGCGTTGTGTGCGCGTTGTGTGGAGCGGTGGTGAAGTGGTTAGCGCACTGCACTACGAACTCGGCGACCCGAGTTCAATTACCGCTCGCAGCTAACATCGGTGATTAATATTTGAACCGAGCCCCGGGCCTTCCCTAGGTCGACTCAGCCTTTAATAAGTACCCGATGGATACATAAGCAATGGTGAGGAAAACATGCCCCGGTTTGGTGTTCGGCCACCCACTCCCTCATACACCATATTGACCTTCACAGGTGCTCGCTAACGGCACTTTTCCCAAAAACAACAACAGTGTTGAGGCTATACGGGGGATGCGGCAAGGAAGCGCCGCACGCACGCACGCAGGCTCGCACTCTCACCTGTGTTGTTGCAGTCGTGTTCGTCGGAGCCATCGTGGCAGTCCCTGAAGCCGTCGCACTGGCTGCTACCGGGCACGCACGACCCATCCGTGCAGCGCAGCTGGTTCGCACTGCAAGCCTCCACCTCTGTTCGACGGACGGGAGAGAGGAGAGGGAGGGGAGGGAGGCGGTACGGATTGAGATTCGCGTGCCTTCGCCGACGCCGTTTACCTCGCTCAGTTACGCGAGTCGTGACTAGGGTTGTTCACACAGGTAACCAGTGAACAACTCTCCAAATCGGTCACCGATTCTGAAAGTCAGGAACTGGTAATCAATTCCAGTGGGATGTGAGTAATGAAAGCAACCATTGGCCACTCGCAAACGTACAATCCGCACGACGGCCCAAGTCACCTCAGTACGAAGGTAAAGGTGCCGCCCTGCACTTGCTTGCTAGTGCCACGGCTGGTAGAAGGCCCTCTACGAGAGTGGGCTCTACAAAAGGTATCTGGCTACTCTCCCACGCTGACCAGACGGCTCGGGAAGTGGTGGGCATACCCACACTTTACCTCACCACACGTGACCTGCCGTTCGACTAAACTGTGATTGTGGCCCAGCCTTTATGCTACTGCTGGAAGAACAGAAGTGGGGGGGGGGGGGGAATTTAAGAAACTCGCACCATTGTTTTGACTTCCGCGTCAGGAGACAGAATTGATTCCGACGATCTCTGCATCCAGCGCGCTAAACCGTTACACGGCCGCTGTGGCAGCCGCCTTCACCTCAGCCAACAAGGTCAACGCGTCGGCTTTTGCTGCTCGAGACGTTTTTGGGTGCGACGTTAACAACCTTAGTCATGACCGCATCGGGAGTGAGGACTCATGAGTAGGGGGGGGAAATGGGGTGTGCGGGCACTCACTGCATCCCTCCTCGTCAGACCCGTCGTCGCAGTCGGGGTCCCCGTCGCAGCGCCAACCCTCGTGCACGCAGTGGCCCGAGCGGCAGCGAAACGCATTGCTCCTGCAGCTGGGATCCAGGCGGCCCTCACCGGGGCAGCGCTCGTCCGCCTCATCCTCACCGCCGGGGCAGTCGGCATGCCCGTCGCACTGCAGCATCGGCGGCACACACACGGCCGGGTCGGACGGGCACGCCAGCGAGCCGGCGGCACACGGCGGCACCGTGGGGCAGCCCTCCTCGTCCGTGCCGTCGCCGCAGTCGTCGTCGCCGTCGCACGCGAACTTCTCGTCCACGCACTTGCCGCTGCGGCACGTGACCTCGTGCTCTGCACACACCACGGGGGCTGTGGGAGGGGGGGGTGGTCACAAGTATTAAGAAGGGCGGCTGACCGGATTGTAAGCGAGAACTTCTGCAACAAGCGGCCAAAGCGCTGGCGCTACCGCCATCGCTCTCGTAATTGTAAATATGCCGAAATCCTTTCCGATGACGCAAGGAGAACAAGGATGGTGGCCTTGAGTGTGAGCACCGCTGAGAGTGGGGGTCATGGACCCCCGTGTGCTGGGGTCGGGCCTCACCACAGCCCTGCTCGTCCTCCCCGCTCTCGCAGTCGCGGTCTCCGTCGCACACCCAGCTGTGCTGGATGCAGCGCTGAGACGTCACGTTTCTACCGCAGTCAAACTCATCAGATGCGCAAGAGCGCAAGCCTGCCACAAACAAACACACAGCCGTGGGTCACAACCATAGTCACGCATACAACCACATGACCACACGGCTACACGCACATACCACACACAGTTGAGTCACACAATCAGGTCCACACACAGACCAAGATCAACCGTATAGCCTTAACAGACTATTGGAGCAAGTCTGTTTGCAAAAAGCACCTATTTTTTGTATTACTGTTTTTTTATTTTGTAAGGCACACTGAGCTATATAGCTCTTTTTCAAGAAGCGACCTGGCCACAAATGATAGCTCAAAGTGGCTTATCACGTGTAAATTTATAAGCAACCAAATACTCTAAACCTATGAAGGCTGGCACGGCACACGAGGGGGCGAATGGCCAGCACCATGCCCGGCAGCCTTTGTCTCCTAGTGGCGATGTTTATACACGTCGCACCAGATACTAATTTCAGGCTGAGTCGACCGAGGGGAGGCCCAGGACCAGTTCAGATAACCGTCACTTGTGTTGGCCGCGAGTGGGAATTTAACTCGGGTCACCAGGTTTGTAGCGTAGCATGCAAATCGCTGCGCCACCGCTCCCCATCCACACAGTTACACACACACATGCGCCAACAGGGGGGGGGTCACACGCCCGCGTGGTCCCCAGGCCAAGCTGGTACCACCGTGACTGGTGGCAATGGCGTGAGGAGAGGGAGGCCTCACCGCACTCGGCTGGGCTCTCGTCCGAGCTGTCGGGGCAGTCGGGCCGCCCGTCGCACCGCCACCTGCGGTTGATGCACATCCCATCGGCGCAACTGAACTGATCCTTCCTGCAAGGTCCTGCTCCCACACACGACGACAACACCACCATCACCACCACCATCATAGCGCCCCATCACCACGAGCGCCATCACTACCACCATCAACACCACGTACTCTCAACTCCAACTCAGCACCACGCACTCAGATGTCACCACCATATAAATCCACCGTGCAATGTGATGAGGCAGCAGTCAGTTCGATGATCCAGCACTCTGTAAACCTTCCGAGTTAGGAGAAGTTAATTATTTTTGCTACTTATATTCTCCAGAACGATACGAATGATTTATTTGCGTTATGTATCATGCAACTATGTGTTGAACTTGGACAAATTTCTATCAGAGATAGAGGGGGTCCTAAAACTATAAACATCAGACAGTTCACCAGCATAGTTCAATACAAGCCCGACTGAATGCTGGACACCGGTCCATTCATTGTCTCATCAGCTTGCTTGAACCATTAATGCTGCCGATGAGACACGCTCCCAGAATGCCGTGTGGCCGACAGTAGGATGTGGAGGGGGGGCAGTCAGTGTGGGGCAAGAAGGAGGAATTATTTTGTGTTCCATTCAAATTGCGGCCTTGCACAACCACCAACTGTAAACACTGGGTTCGGCGACTCCTCGGGCGTTCATCGACTCTGCTTTGCTCGTCACGGAAGCAGCCTTCGGAATGGTCAAGGCTATGGCAGAGGAAGGTGGTGGGGCAGGGCCCAGCCCCCACCCCCCACCCCGTCATCACCCACCAGCATCGCCACCACCACCTGCCAGGATCCCATTGGCCGAGGCGCGTTCACGCCACATCGCACTCTACAAGCGCCACGGCGCACAATAAATCCCCGTGTGTGTTTTGAGAATGAGTCATGCAAATATCTCAAAACATTCCCTGCATAGCCCATAAAGAGACTCGTGAGGCAAATCCTATTATCGAGTGACACCTACAAAGTCTGGCACAGCACACGAGGGAAGTGATGTGCAGCACTACGTCCGTCCGCCTTCGTCTTCGCAAGTGATTCATACACACCACGCTGAACGCAGATACTCATTTGAAGCCATGTCAACCTAGCAGAGGCCCATATTCGGTTTAATATACTTGCCACTGATGCTATATGCGGGAATGGAACTCAGGTGGTTGGGTTTGTAGAGGAATCCACTAATCACGGCAACCACCCACTCACAAGTACAACAACAACAGCAGCAGCTGCAGGAACAGCAGCTATCCGCCACAAACTGGCAGCAATGTCTCCGCAATGTTCGTGCCAGGCTATGATGAACTTTCAGACCATCACGTGAAGCGTGGATGGATCTCGCTCTGCTGACAGGCGGGTCACAGGATAGACCCAAGTGCCATGGGTTAACTGAGATGCGCACGCACACAAGTCCTAATACATCACAGTGGGATTGTTGTTGTTTTCGTCTTGCAATATAACGCGTGTGCTATTCTTTTACCACAATAAGGCCGTTCATACTGGCAGAGGCCACTATGCAACATCAGCTCAAATTCACCGGCGTTTATTGCACACAAATTGTCTGCAATAAAGTTGTACCGGCACTATCAAGTTGCCGATAAACGGGTGGCGAAACCCGTCCAGAGTTTTCTTACTTTAAAACCCTTTGCTACAAAAATTATGGTTTCCCACAATGCTGATTGGTTGTGTAAATAAATATACTTTATTTTTCAATGGCAAAAGTCAATGATTGTCCTGTTTAAATGAGCATTGCGGCATTGGCGCTCCATATCCTGTTTACAGTCCTGCAGTAGTGGTGGAAATTCCTTTATTACAAACGCTGACGTTGATTTTCCCAACACAGTAGTGATCATTATATTGAGTCCATAGGGAGGCAACCATGTGCCGAGTTAACCATCTCCAACCAAGATACAAACTCCTCCGCAGCCTTGAGATTGCGAGCTGCTCGCTCTACCGCTGGGCGGCCCACCAGGCCGGCAGTAGGACAACCGTCTGCTTCTTTGTTTTATAAAAACGAGTTGGGGGGCAGTGACTTTAAAGTCACTGCCACCACCTGTGTGCATGGAGCCGAGTCGCAACCATACGACCGCAGTTGAGAAAATCTGGGCCCCAAAAGCTCAAAGTTGACAATTGATCTCACCGATTCCTGCCTTCAACAAAAACAACTCAGCCGCATGACTTACAGCCAGTGCTGCAATCCCACCATCATGCAGGTGCCGCCCCACCCGCTCGGCCCCCACCAAATGGTTGATCACGTGTAGCGTGCGCTGCCGTCAATGAACGGCCCAATCAAAATAAACACTGGAGCTTCGTGGTGTCATCATGGTCAGCAACACTCACTGGACTTGCAGTCCAGAGGTCGTTCAAACAGTGGCACAAGATTATCAAATTTCCCCCGCCCCGCCTCTGTCCACCACCCAGCAGTATAAACGGGTTCACCACTGTCTACGGTCGGTAGGTAACGTGTGGTGGGGTAAAATGTGGGTACTCCAAACCTCTTCCAAGATGCACCGGTTCAACATGGAGGGGTTCGGTCAAATACAACTCGACGAGGGGCTCCTCTCTAGAGGAGGCCCTTCCGCGCGCTGTGGTGCGAGCAAGAAGTTGCAGGTCTGCACCTTTACCTTTCTAAAAAGTGACCTGAGACCCTCACCTCAAAACCCTGCCCACCCCCATCTCTCTCATCATCAAAGCCTGAGTCTGCTGATAATAAGACACCGAGTGTCAGAAACCGGTACAGAGTTTTGCTCGTGTTGAAGCCAATCGCTGCCGAAATGATGCAATCCGAAATGGGGTTGTGCAAAATTGACCATAAAATGTTTAATGTCCAGGGACACAAGAAAGAATGGACATATATAGTCCCATTTGTGTAGCTTGTAATCGCATGGGAAGGTGGTGTGCTTCCCAAGCTTAGGGCAGCAATGCGCATCTTTTTTCCGGCGTCCAGGGCAAATAGAGCGGAAGGAGGCTTGGGGGTGATTTGAGGCCACACGGGGTGGAAAGTCGGTCCCACTTGCGGGACCGATAAGGACAACTGCCACGGAGAATGCCGTCACTGGAGAGCCATTTCACAACGAGGAATGCACACTCACCCACGTCCCGAGAACAGGCGGGGTCGGACACCAACTGCGAGCGAGAAATCATTATTTGCTCTTCTATTCTTGCCTGTGGCGACATGTTCAGGAGCTAAAGGCTAATGTCGAGGTCTGCCTGGCAATTCGTGTAGGTTTGCTATCCCTCCTCCGTTGAGGGAGCACGGACAACAACAACAATGGTGGTTCGATCTGTAGTCCGTAGTTTGGGTTACATGGCCAGAATCGCACTACTGAGGCTCGTCTTGAATTTCCCATTCATGAAGGCGATGTGCGCATTGGCCTGTTGATGTTGTGACGCAGTTGATGGTTACACTTGTCTTCGAGGAGGAATGTCAAAGCCACGAGGTGCATTGTTTGGATCTGGAATGCGGTGAATATATACCGGACGTCCTAAATGTCTCACAAGCCAGTGATATCCGCCATTCTGACCGGTGGTTTAATCTCCCAAAATACAGCCTTGAAGTCAGTGGTGTGAAGTCCACGTTACTATGGCGGCAGCGAGGTCTATCCTTATGAAAAGCACTGTTGGACAACTGGTGTGGCAACTTGAAGCATCCTGCTATTTTGCCCATGGTTACGAATGCAGCAGTCACGTCGTGAGTAATGTATCGGTATTATTGTTCAGAATAAGGTTTTATCCATACAAGTCTCTAAACATGTCTCACATCATTCATACATTCTTCACGTGTTTGGGATTTTGGGGGGCGGGGTATGGGGGGGGCACCGAAGGACGGAGGGGGGTGGGGAGCTTTGCCTTTTTTAAAACAGCTCAACCGTCCCATGCAAATGCCTATTTCCCCTACTACTCCCCTACTACGACCCAGCCCCGCCACAGCGGAAGCCGCTGGGTGGGGGCAGGGGCATTGGGGCGGAGCTGGGAGAGAGGGCGCAGCGCCGCGTCGTCACTGGGCCGGCCCCCCGCACCACTCCCGGACCCTCCGCCGATTGGCCTCGACGCAACACACCACCGGCAATGGGGCGGGGCCGGGCAGCAGCGGGGGGCATGCCCCACGCGAGATGACGCACACCGACGAGCACGTGGGCGGGGGGGGGCCCAGCCTCTCTGCTACACACGCGGCACTTGTGGGGTTGCGCAACTCGTCGCCAGGTGCATTAATGCAGCGCTTACGGATTCCCACGGCCACCTCTAAAAGACAAAGATCCCCCGTATAGCCTTAACAGATTGTTGGGGCAAGTGCTGTTAGCAAGCACTTAGACAGACTGGCACAGTGCACCTATGAGGGATGGGTGGCCAACACCACGCGTGGCCGCCTTTGTCTCTCCAGTGCTGATGTTTTTACACACCGCGTAAGGTGCTAACTTTTAAGGCCAAGTTGACCGAGTGGCCCGGGACATTCGCCACTGTTATTGGGCATGAACGGGAATCGAACTCGGGGATGCCGGATTAGGAGAGCAGTGCGCTTAACCATTGCACTTCCACCATCACTTGTCCCACTACCACTGACCGCCCAGTCCCGTGTGGCACGCGGAATGGAGGAGGATGGGAATCTCAAGAATGATCAGCGGCATCGCAACTGGAACGTCGCACCACAATAATACAACAACAGCGGAGTGACAACACTCGCCATCTCCACACGGAGTGTTACACCTGGCGAGGGTTTAACATCGCCTTCACACGAAAGTGCCAAAATGTTATGTATCTATAAGGTGCAACTTGTAAACTTATACGATGCATTTTGTGATGTATAAATGGCTCCCCCTGGGTCCGACCCACCATCACCACCATGGTCGATAAAATAAAGTATTAATCTGTGAGAAGCAAACAGGAACCCTGCTAAAAAACGGAGTTTTGAGACTGAGACGAGGCTTTCCCTGGGAAAACACGCGGACTAACGATGGCAGCTGTACGTACGCAATGTGACGCGGTGCAGGGATAACGAACCAGCAGCAAACGCCCTACCTAGGGAATTAGCAGCGACACTGCTGCTACTCGTCCAT